ACCCAGACAACTCTCCTCCTCCCAGTGTGGCTGGAGTTGCCAAAAGGTTGGACGCTCCCTGTGTAGCTCACATCTCTAGAATGTGTTGTGACATCAAAGTTTTTCACCATTGCAGATGTTGGAGAAATATGGATAGAAGATTGCCTTCACAAATGACCAGTTTATTGCCTGACAAAAATCGAGAAAAGGAAAAGTCCTTGTTTACCACTTCGGCAGGAAGAGGGGGCACGGCCATCAGGAGCCATTTAGGGGAAGAGATTTTCAACAGTAGCTGCCTGGTACTCGGCTAACAAGTACTTGTAGGGGCTAATTATCCTTTGCCTTTGTCTTTCAACTCCAGAGAGTGAGCACACCCTAGGGAAACTGCAATGGTCTCTGCTTCCGGAGCACCATTCCGGTGTAGTGTGGAGAGCCCCTTTCCAGACATTAAAGTAAACGCACTGCCAGGCTTTTGGAGTGAATCTCACCTCTATAGTTACAAATGGGTGACAGAAACAAAGACAATAAAAATGAGCAAAGTGCAGTTTGGAGGGTGACAGGCAATCCGAGTGATAAGGAGAGTGGATACAGGATGGATCTGTCTACACGCCGTGAATCTTTTCCCAATTCTAGGACCTGTGTTGCTTCATAATGACCCTCCACCTGTTAAACCTTAGATACATCAAAATGCTTCCTCCTTTATCTACCAAATGGAGGCCTGCCGAATTTAACTCATATTGATCTCATCTGCACTGGGAAAATATAAACAATGTGATGAGAAAATTCTGAAGATATGTTTTTGCTCCTCGATGCTTCCTGTGGTTTACTTGATGATACAACACCCACCGTTGCCAAATTTCTTCTCTGACTTTGGAAGCTCAAAGATGACAGCTGCCCTACTATGCTCTCCTCTTTGTACATGGGAAGTGAAGCCACGTCAAGGAACATGAGTGAGGAAATGAGACACGAAATCACCCTGTACTAAATGTAACTTGGTGAAAAAAAAATGGAGGTGTGCATGAAGGGGTGCTGAGGGTCAGTGTTTCTATTTGTATTTCTTTTTTGTTTCAGTAGTTTTATTCTGTGCTGATTCCATTAGGGTATAGTCAGAATAGATTGCAACCCTATAAAAAACTATGGACAGGCCCTGGCTGAGTGGCTCAGTCGGTCAGAACATCATCCCGATACACCAAGGTTGCGGGTTGGATCTCCAGTTGGGGCACAGACAAGAAGTAACTGATGATTGCATCAATTAGTGGAACAACGAATCTCTCTCTCTTTCCCTCTCTCAACTCAATAAAAAAAAATTTAAACGGTCAGAGGCTCTTGTCCTCTGCTTAAATTAATTGCCTCGATAGAATAAGAGAATAAAATAAATCACCACTCTCAAAGTATCACTAACAAGCTTAGGTCTCTATCTATCTATATATTACCTATCCATCTACCCACCTGCCTGAATATTTATATCTCTCTCTATTCATATAACGATAAAATGAAGGGTATATAAAGTTATAAAATTAATTGCTTTAAAAGTATACTATGTAAAAATAAGCATAAAGTATAGTGAAATGTAATTTACATGAAATACATTTTATTTATCTGACTTATAGTGATTAATGAATGTATTTTTGTTACATAAAACAGCAAACAACCAGAAATATGATATTAAGACCATATAAGTAAATTGTTCATCATAACTGATATTTCAGGTCCCTAATAATTTCACTTGAAATCAGTATTAGTGACATAAATTGTAGAGTTTTCGAATTAGTTATTGACTGTATTTTATTGTGTAAGTCAATCTAGTCCTCCAATGAGTCTGTGGGAACATTCTAAAGCACGCTGGTGTTTCTTGCTGAGCGCTCGTGACATTATCTCTGAAGCTGCGCCTCAGCCCACGTCCAAGTTCTCCTTTAAGAGAAAAGTTCCTGTGCACTACCATGGAAACCAGAGTCTTGTATTCCTGAAATTATAGACCAAACTCTGGTCAACAACCAATGTAATCATTAGGTTGACTCCCACCTATTTCCAACTTATTTGTATTAGCATCTCACTTCCTCGTTGCTTAGATAATTGTTTCCTCATTTAAATAATCCATAGTTTTGGCTTTTCCTATTGAATATCAATATTTACTAGATGTGTTTATGTTTAAATAAAAACAACCTTACTTGAAAAGTGTGTTTTCTAATTATTCCGAATAAGAAAAAATTAATTAATCATACAAGGTCATGACAACAAGATCAGGCAACCTTAGCGTGTGGTTTTGGCAATTGTGGAGGGAGGCAAAAGAATGAGGCAGCTATCCTCTCTCTGATTTATGAAATTTTCAAAACAATCCTTCCTTTTCCTGTTGAAAAAAAATACAATGGGCCTTAAAGGGAGTCACTTGTGTAAGCTCCTGGCACAGAAATGAGGTTTACCACCTAGCTTAACTATAGCTATACCCACCCTCTGGAATGTAATTTCTTAACCTGTTAGTCTGGAATTTCCTGGTTAGCACCAGTGAGGTAATCTACCTAAGAGACCTGTTTGTCCCTTGTCTGAAATAATCTTTTCTTTTGTCTATGGCTTCCTTGTCTCAACCCCTATTGCCTTTGAAAACCTTTTCTTTTCTGAAGCTGTTTAGTAGTGGTTCCCTCTATTTGCTGGATGGGATGCTGCCTGAATCATGAATCACTGAATATAGCCAATTGTATATTCAAATTTACTGCTCTGAATTTGAAACTCTATTAAAAATGTTCTTATATAAGTAAGTAATACCAAAAGATAAAAACTACCTGCTAAACACAGGGAGTCAAGTTGGCCATAAGAACATTCATTTAAAATATTGAAAGCAATTACTTTTAATAAGTGTCTAAAATTGTTCTGACTGTTTTTTCTTGAAGAATCTATCTTCACTGGAGTCAGATAGTTCTCATAGAGTTCTTTCAAATTTTTAAAAACTTTTAGTTCTCTTTCTTCTTCCACCTGAGGCATTTCTAGATTTCTGTCTTCGAGCTTGCTCACTTTCTCCTCCATCTGGTCTGCTCTGCTTCCGAATGCATTCCTTCTCCCATTTATTAAGTTCTTCAGCTCCAGAATATCTGGTTCTCTTTAGAGTTTCAATCTCTTCAGTAAAGTACTCCTTTTGTTCATTAATTTGATTCCTGAGCTCATTGAACTGCCTTTCTGAGTTTTCTTGTACCTCACTGAATATCTTCACGACTGTAACTGTGTATTCTCTGTTGTTTGAATCTCTTTCATGACTTTGGGGTTGGTTTCTGGAGACTTGTCATTTTCTTCCTGTGTTCGCTTGTTAACATGGCTACTCATGGTACCTGATGGCTTGTCCTCCCGCCTGCACATGTGAGGTAGTGAATTGTTTTATTGTTTAGTTACCACGTGGATCTGAGCAATTCTGCAGGTGGATAATTTTGTTTCCAGTGCCTGGTAATACAGTGCCTGGTTTTATTCTCTCTGACCATTGCTACTTGCACTTGCTGGCTACTTGTGGGGGGACATCACTGGGGTCGTGGAAATTGATGATGAGATGCCTGGGGTGGTGGGTTCCTGCTATGTCCAAGCCACCTCAGTCTCAGGCACCACCACCATGGTGGGGGGTGTCGCACATGTTGACGCTGCTTCTTCAAGTCTCTTACCTTCTGCTGAGCCACAGTGTGGGGGTGCACCCCAAGTCCTTCACCACCACCACATCAGCTGGGGCCCAGGTGGGCACCAAACTGTGTGTGAGAACACCATCCCTTCCCTGTCCTTCCCACCATCCTGCCCTCTTTACACGGTCCAAGATGCCCACCTTCCGATGCATGGGTCACTCAGGCAAGCGCTGAGCAGAGGAGATGTTGTTGGATTACGGATGTCCAAGTTGTAACTTTAAGGGGGAGACACAGAGGGGTCTTATCCCTCCAGCACAACACTGATGTCACTCCTTGGAATGTATCTTTAATCATTAATTCTCACCGATCAAACTCTATTAGTCTAGGCTCGAAACCAGAGCAAGAAAATATTGCTTTAAAAATACAGTATTTCAGTTTGCTTGTAACAGAATTTCTTTTGTCACAATGCTCAGTATTGTTAATATGAGCAAAAGCTAAAGTAGAAGAGGGACAAGTACCCTAAATGCCCATCTGTGGTACGTTGAAGGTCCCAGTGGTCATCCCTTCACTGGCTATTTACTGGGATCTCCTACGTTCAGGCCCAAGTGTCAGCTGGGCGAGCGTTTTCAGCCGTGTTGTCTTATCTTGTTTGCCTCTGCTCCTGCTTCTTCCCATCTCTGTCAGCTGGTAGTCGGCTGCCTGCAACCAAGCCTTTTCCTGAAGGATGCGATTATTCGTTTTGGGGCAAAGGGAAGGAATAGGAAAAGAACTGCCAAAGCTTCGGTTTCTGCTCTTGTTGATGAAATACCTGTTATGTAACAATTTGATTAACCTGAAGAGCCATCCCCGTGCTGGTTAACCATTTAGCATTAGGAATATCACAGAAATTAAATTATTTACACTTGTCTCCTTCTGTCTGCCCCTGCCCATTGCCACCCTCGGCAACCACATGGTTTCTACATTCAGGCTTTGGCTACACCTTAAAACTGCTGCGAGCAGGTTTACGTAGCATTTTATTGTGGAGCCTGAGGTCCGCCTCCTGGACTTACACTCAACCCTGCCATGGAGTAAAAGATGCTAAGAAAGACAACCTTTGTGAAACACAGGTTGAGACAGGCCCCGTTATTAACCGCCTTTAGCTTCTGATAACACTCAATGGACCGTGTTTTCACCAAGCACCTGCGCCCTCTCCAGTCCTCAGCCCTTGGTGATTTCCAAAACAACTTTTACCATGAGTCTGAAATGATGGCTTTTGAAAAGCCACCGTCAATCTCAGCGCTCTTGCAGTGGTGGCCAGTGACAGCTGATGAGTGGAAATGGAGGAAAAGCAAGCAACGTGAGTACAGATGTGAACATGCAGCGACCGGCCCAGCCCGGCCCACCTGTAGGGGGCCCCTGGCATCGCGGCCGATGGACCACAGTACTTGCCTTGCAGACTGTAGATCTCACCAACGCTGTTCTGACGAGTGATGTGGCGCCAGTAGGCGCTCCGAGGGAGAGAGATGGATTTGGACAATGTCATGGGTTCAGCCAGGCTTGTCTGCAGCTGGAAGAAAGAGAAAATGCATCTCAGGCTTGCTTTCCAATGTTAAACTGAAATCCGCTCTTTTCAAAGTTGGTGGGGGGGGAAAGGCAGGCAGTGTATAATCTGATGGAATCCCTGCAGGAGCTGCAGTTGAAGGATAACTTTGTTTAAAGAGGTAAAACCATCACTGAGAAAAATAGGAAGTGAACACTTGGAAATGGTTTAATCCCACTAGTCAATTAAGAAGCGAACAAATAGACAGTACGACTGATTCCAAGTCGGTTTCAAAGGACAGGTTGCCAATCAGGAGTGCGGGTTCCTAGCCACGGAAATAATCAACTGCATTATTCCACCAGGAGAACTTATTGGCATTTCTACAACTATCAGCTTCTGACAATTAATTGGATTTTAAAATAGCTCAAAAAATGGAGGTGGCAGCTCCTTCTGAAACAGATACGCCGACTGCGGGCCACCCGGGACCCCATTTCTTTTGTGCCCTCTTCCCGGTCTTTCAGTTCTGCCCAACAGCACCTCCCGTCCTAACTCGACGCCTCTTTTTTGAATGGACCGTGGGCTTCAGCCCTCGATACCACCACGTGTATTGATTGACAAAGCGTTTTCCCCGAGAAGCTCTGTGTTAAAGAATAAGGGCCCTGCAGCATATTCTGTCATCAGAAACATAAAGTTAAGACGAGCTGCAGAGACCCACACCTGACACGGGGTGCCCAGGTGGAGGACTAGTGTGGAGTGCGGTACTTCACACTGCATTTCCAATAAGCAAGTTCACTTTCATTGATTCACGCCAGGTTAAAAGTAAAAAAAAAATACCCAGCAATGGTTTTATTTGGTCTTAGTACACATTTCTCTGATGCTGCCTGAGCAAACATTTGTTGTCTCACAGAAAATGGGCAATCCGCTACTTAATAAAATCTCAAATCCCGCCTTGTGTAACTCCTGACTTCCGGCAGAACTGGGAGGTGCAATATCAGCTCGGTCCAGGGCAGCCTCCGAGCCCGCTGGCCGGGTGCAAGTGCACTTTCTCCCCGGGGTCTTCTGCCCCCAGTTCCTCCATAGTCCTGCATCAGGCGTTACCCCTTCAGAAGGTGCTGCAAGCGAAGTACCTGAGAGGGTACAGCAGGACCTCGAACAATGCCAAAATAAGAGGCATTTCTGTTTTAATAGAATCAGAAGGCAAAGGGCTTAAAACCTACTTATTTGGTTTTACTTAAAAAATTGATTTTGGAGAGAGAGAGGAAGGACAAGGAAGGAAGCGAGAGAAAGAGAAACATCGATTTGTTGTTCTACTTGCTTATGTATTCATTTGTTGCTGCTTGTCTGTGCCCTGACTGGGGATCGAACCCGCGACCTGGCATATTGGGGAACGACACTCTAACCAACTGGCTACCTGGCCCAGGCCTTGATTTTCCTTTTTCAGTAGTGAGGCATTTCCAGGACTGCCATGTCTTGCCACAGAAGTACCCTACTCAGTGTGTTTAAAAGTCTGGCCCTGGTGAAGGTATTTTGTAAAAGGTGGCTATGAAGAGCAGCACTGTAACCGATTTTTATATTTTCAAACTTTGCTACATTTCAAGGTTTTCCTCCTTATTATGAAAATGGGGGTACTAACTGTACCCACGTGCCACAATTGGTAGGGAGGGAGGGTGAGGGAGACGCTCACTTTCCGGGTCAACCCAGAATCTCTGCTCGTCACCCCTGATGTTTCTAGTCTGGCCCCAGAGCAGAGGGTCAGAGAGCTTGTGGGAGGGCCGTGCGTGTTGACATCCAAATGACCTTCAAGTGCACGCCGTCATCCCACTGCAGAAAAGGATGGAGGCGGGGGCTCACCCCAAGAAATCGTCACTGGGACCAAAGGGCTTTCCTCTCCAAAGCCCATTCCTCATGTGAGGCATGAACTGAGTTAAACACATAAATCTTTAATTAGTGTCAGCAATGCCCATGAATAACATCAACTAACCCACGAAATGACTCTCATATGAATCCCACTCTGTCTACTCTTAAATCCTTCTTATAATTTATCATACTTTGTTTACTACTCAGCACACAGTAGATCATCAGTGGTAAATTCATCTTCCCCAAAGTCGATGAAAGTGCTTTTTCTTCTTCTTCTTCCTCTTTTTTTTTTTTCATTCTCGGAAACAGAACAGTGGCTAAGTCTAGGGACCCTAGGTCACCAGGCAGAGTTGCCACCCCACTGTACGGATTCTATTCTCCTTCACTTTTTTCCGCCCCTCCAACCCCCACCTCTGAGATTTGGGGTTTTAACTTTATTTAAAGAATTTATATTTTCCGTTTTTTCTTTTCTTTCTTATTTTAAACACATGCACTATATTTTTACTTTACTTTTTATTTTTAGAGATTGGGGACGGGAGGGAGAAACAGTGGGAAAGAAGCACTGATGTGGGAGAAGAACAAGGATAAGTTGGCTCCCGCACAGGCCCTGACTGGGAACCGAACCCACGACCCCGGCATCTGCTCTGACTTGTATTCGAACCCACAACACTTTACTTTGCAGAACATTGCCCACACTGGTCAGGGCTCAGTTTTTCTTATATATTATATTTTGCTCTATCCTAGTTAATTTTCACCTTCTGTTTTTCTTAAGTGGTTCTCTTGTTTATTTTCTATCTTTTCTTTTTTCCTTTCCCCCTCCAACATATTGTAAGTTGTGACAGTACTGTCTGGCACTTGGAGAGGATCTTTGCGCCTGAAGAAGCAGGGAGGGCCCGTGACGTGACTCCCAGCTCCTCTTCCTGCTTTTACTGGAAAAAAAAAAAAATGATCCCGGCGACCTTAGGCCCTTTGTAATTTCCCTGTACTGTTTTGAGATTCCGCCTCCCCCTGTGATAAGCATTAATGCTAATTTGTGTTTACCCACATAAAATTCATCTGCATCAAAAATGTTAACAAATTAATTCTCCTTTTGCTCTGTATCTCCCTAATTATTGCCTTGAAAATTGAAAATGATATTAGCACTGGGGACGCAAACCTGTACAATCTGGAGAGGAAAAAAATTAGCATTTATAAATTAGCATTTATGAGCCATTCTCTGTGCCTGGCTGTGTGCAAACGGGTATCAAACGTCATCTCACTTATTACCCACATAAACTGTCGGCAGAGACAAGAAAAATGAGGCTCCAAGTGATAACCTATTTTGTCCGTGGTGACACAGCCCGTGAGTGATGTCTCTGAGGCTTCCCAGGCCACGATGTTGTCCCCTCTTCCCCATAACTCCCTGTAAGGTAAACCGCTGGACCCCTTGTCTTCGGGGAGCAGACGAGATGAGAACTACGCCTACTGGGTCTGTCCCTCGGGACCAAGGCAGGTCCGGAGGTCTGAGCGCAGCAGAGCACAGGTGCAGGGGGCCAGAGGCCGGTCAGCCTGTGGCTGTGCTGGACACAGACCTATCGTCAAACACTAGCTCCACAGCCCAGTGGCTGACCTCAGGCAAGGCACCTGTACCTGTTCTTGAGACTTCATTTTTCCTTATCTCTCAGTTGGAGTTAATATAACCCACCTTAAGGGTTATAAATGTTTTATAAGATGATGCTTTTGGAGTGAAGATCCCTGTGTATATTATATCTGAGTGCTCAGTGAAGGCTGCTGCCTCAACATTGCTCCCAGTGCGTGGGGATGCGGCTCAGACCAGACGTGTCTGTACAAGTCTGTGGTCAAGTCATGGAAACCTGTCCTAAATGAGTGACTGAGGAAATGACAACGAAGGCAGAGGCACGTACTTGGATCTAAGTCTATGACCTTAAGAGAAGTACAAAACCCCACCTGCAATATGACTATGAATGAGGAGGATGGGCATGTGGAATATAGATGGGGGGGGGCAGGTGAGCAACACTGGTAGGAGAAGGGTGTGTGTGCACATCTTCACACCTGTACACATGCACAATATACACCAGGAAGGAGTAGTCCCAGTCTTTCTGAGTGGTGGAGTTATGAAATGCCACAGTGGGTGGGTGCGGCAGTGTGCCCCCCGGTAAGTCTGAGATGAGAGATACTGGGCAGGAATATATACTGTCCGTTAAAAACACTACAAAAATATCATACAAGTGGTTAGGAAATAGGCTCATGTGTGTCAGGATAAGAAAAAATGCAGTGCTGCTTAGTATGGAAATACCGAATATGAGTCAAGAGCGTTGAGTTTTCTTTGTTCTTGGAAAAGAGCTCGTGACACTTGAAAACTGCAGAAGTGAACCCCCGGAGGTGTATCACCAGCCAGGCTGGTGCTGTTTGGATTCATGCAAATTGGCCTCCGAAGTTGGAAGGTTCATGGGCAATTGGTTTCTCACAGACCTGACTTAATTTTCAATCGGGGACATCTTACATTTAATCTTTCATTTTATTCAAGATAAATGGAAAGGAATTAAAAGACACTTTGCTTAGATTGCACCAGACTTACAAATAAAATGTAGTTTATACAGCCCTTTAATGGCACCTGCTAGGTGGGGTATTATTTCCATTGGATTTGAAAAAAATGAATGTTATTATATATTTTAAACCATGCACTGATCAAATTTTAAGGGAAGAGACCATGATGTAAATAAAATCCTTACTATTGTACTGTGTTATAGCGCTGTTTATTAGAAGACTCACATACAGCCTTCTCCCCATTTCCCTCATATTTGTGCATTTATGGGGAAATGTGTGTTTTTCTTTGTGTTTGTTTAGAGGCTACATTTTCTTTGGTGTTCTGAAACTGGAACAACAGTAAGTGAACTGATTGATTAGTATCAAGGGCCCACTTTCATTATCGACTATGATGGTTTCTTCTAATTGACCTTGGGTTGATTTATTAATCAGTGTCTATCCGTCAGCAAAGTGGAATTTTATAATTATGTGAATAGCATTTCCCAGCAGGGAACTGGTCATTGTCCATAGTAACAAAGGCTCTTGTCTTATGGTTAATAATTGATAATATTGAGCAATAAATAGATCCGTAAATAGAACTTTGAAGAATGAACTAATTGGCAGATATTCCTGTATATTGGATG